AAAAAAGAATGTACAGGTGCAAATTCTCTATGATGAATGTGATCACTGCATATACATCAAAAGTGTACCAATAAAATTAATTAGGATAAAGACTGATTTTTGGCCATAGTGGCAAATAAATGAACACCATTTATTCATTTAGCTAAAAATTATGTGCAAAAATTTATATCTTTTTTTTTTTGGTGAACAATAAACTATTACTTAGACACCTGTGGTGTTTACAAACCACTTTAAACAGCAGAGATGAGGGCAAAGTACTGAGTGTTTTATGTACCACTTAGGGATATTTAGTAGAATCAACTAGAATTGAAAATTATAATTAAAATTGGAAATTTAGCATAGACACCAAAAACAATCTTATCAGAATTCTTTGTATAACTATTTTTGTATTGTAAGCCCTCATGTTGGATCTGGGGGCAAACCACAATAATTAATTAAAACTAACAGTCTCTTTCATATTAGCTTAGGCTGTTTTGGATTACAGTATTTATCAAAACTATGTAACAATGTCCTACTATGGATGTCCCTTGTCCCCAGGGACAATCCTTTTCCTTTCCAAGATGAGTGGGTAGATCACTCTCACTCACCCTGCACCAAGGCCCTGGCTCCAATTAGGCAGTGCAACCTTCCACTAGCCTTGGGCTAGGACAGTGCCACTAACCTCTGTTACTGGATCACTGCCCACCAGTCACAGCAGCTCTTTAATAGGCTCATGGATACTCTTCTCCCAGCTCCTTCCCTTATTTTCTTCAGAGGAGCAGATGCAAACTCCAGAATCCCCCAGATTTCACTGTTATGGGAAACTGCATGTTGAGTGGTCATGCCCTTTTCCTGGCCTAAATACATCATCATACAATTATTTCTGACTATAGCTACCTTGTGTTAGAACAAAAGGCCCAGGTTATGTTCTCCTCCAGAGAAGGCAGGACCAAGCCACAGAACTGCAATTCCACTCTGAGTCCAGGGATTTCTCCTTGTCTTTTCTTACCCCACTTTGCTCTTGGTGATATGGGAGGGAAGGCCTGCAAGTCTTATCTTTTCTTCGCCTTCTCCCAGAACAGATAGGTTCACTAGTGAAACTGTCATCTCTTACAGCTTTCTTCTCCCCTTCTCCATCTCTCAAAGTTCAGATATTCAAATCATTGAAGCTAATAAATATTAAACCTCATGCTGCTGGACCCTATCCACAGCATTATTTCAGCATTTCTGGTGTTGGGCCGGAGAAGGTGTACTAACAAGTCCAAACACAATGCTGATGCTACTGAGTGACACTTTGGAAACCACTGACCTTTTCTGTGCCCTTCACTGACATCAGTGTGCATTTCATTTGCAAAAAACATCCTGGATTAGTCTCAATGGGAGAAGGGCTGAAAGGTATACGGCTTACGCTGATTACTCTTTAGAAGGCAATTATGGCTTGGGACTTTAGGATATCCAACTATTAAGAGGAGAAAGTGAAAGATAGTCTGCAGAACATAAGAAAAACGACCAATAACACGTAAGTTAACGATTGATGTCCTCTTTCTAAGTATATCTTTCTTGATTTCAGGCAACTGGCTCCTTGGATGAAGATGTGTTTGTGGGTTTTATTTTTTTTGCGGGGGGGAGCAGGGTTGTATGGTGAAATACTGTTAATAATTCATGTTCAATCATCTAGAAATGAGTTTCCAAAGAGGTGACAGCTCTCTGAGAGTGTAACCTCCCCTTTATTATAACATGGCCAGAAGAAAGGTGAAAACAGGATGTACGCGGGGGAAAGCTTTCCTTGTTTCACCCCTGGAGGAAGTGAGAAGAGAGGGAATGCCCCTTCTCTGGCCTGTGGAAGGACAGTGAAACAACTGAAAAGAATGAAGCTGTATGCAAAGAAAACCAGAAACAAGAATACTTCCTGTGCTTCTCCGTATTTTAACCCTCATCACAAAAAATTTCTGAAACCAACCTGTTCCAAGAGTATCCTTAAATTCCACTTCTTGCTTAAACAAACACTAAAATCTGTAATTTGCAATCAAGAGTCCTAAATAACATGACAGAAAATGTAATTTTGGGCTGGGGATTTAGCTCAGTGGTTCTGCCACCTGCCTCACAGGGACAAGGACCTGAGATTGATCCCCGGTACCAAAAAAAAAAAAAAAAAATTTTAAAGATATTAAAACTGGCCTTGCAGGCAGTTACATTAATAAAACCTTCTCTCAATGCCTTGGACCACCCTGTGTACTTTAACTACAATGCTAATTTAGCTTCTAAATATATCAAAATAAGTATTTCCGTGACTACATTTTTTTCTACCCTCAGTGCATTTAAAAAAGAACCTATATTTAAAATGTTGAACTTTCAAATACACACTTAAAAATACTTCTCCAGATGACTGTATAAAGTTGATTCTCCAGTAAGTACAATAGACAGAGGTAATATTTGGTATTTTTTGTTTGCCTTCCCTTTTCATTTAATTACAAAACCCATTTCCTCAGTTAGCTACCCTCTTTCCTAATCCGTAAAGTTTTGTATGGTTGTTTCCATTTCATTTTCAGGTTTCAATGAGACCCAGGCTTAGCTAAGCAAAGTCCTCTGTGGCTATAGAGATTGGTTCAAAGTAGGCTCACTGAAATTCTACTTTAGGACTTTGAGAGTCACTTTCTCATTAGTCTAAGAGGAATATATAAATTCAGAACTGCTAGTAGCTGTGTAGCCTTAAATTTTGATTAGTAATGTATCTATCTGTACTACTAAAAGAAACTGTGGCACATAGAAGGTCCTTAATAAATAGCTGATGAATCAATGAATGAGGAGAGATCTCCATTGAGCAGTTAGCCAAAAATGAGAAGAGCAAAAGAGGAACTGATTTGCCAAGGAACCTGTGAATTTAGAAGTAGGTTAAGGGTAATTTTCTCCCTGGACTATGTAGACATTGTTTGAGTGGGGCTTCTGCTGCTTGCAACCAACCAATTAATAAAAAGGCATATGCTAACCTATATACTTTACCAATATGAGAAGAGAAAGAAAGCTCAATACTAAGTAACTATGGAATTAAACAGAAAAAGAAAACAATGTCACAGACTCTATGCAAGGCTTTTTTCATCTTTGATTAGGCAAAAACAATTTTTTTAAGCAAAGAAAGATAATTCTACGAAATGACAAATGGACTCATTTCATCTTACATTGAAACACTTCTATACCAGATGAAATATGATTTGATAAGGGAAATATTTAATTAAAATTCACTGCACTATACCAATACATACATTATATCAATTGAAGATTTTTTTTTGTAGTACTTGGGGGTCAAACTCAGAGTCTTTACCACTGATCTACACCCCTAGCCCTTTCTTATTTTTTGAGACAAGTTTTAATTAAGTTGCCCTAGTTAAGCCTCCCAAGGAGCTGGGATTACTGGCATGTGCCAACACATACAGCAAAATTTATTTATGTTGAAGAGCTTTTTTGTTGTGATGAGGTCTTGTTGTACTGTCAAAGACAGCACTGAACTAGAGATCCTCCTGCCTCAGACTTTTGAGTACCTTGAATTACAGGTATCTGCCACCGTGCCTACCTTTTCCATTTAAAGATCTTAATCATTAAACAAAAAAGGTTAAAATTCACTTGATTAAAAAAAAATCAATATTTATACCAACTTTAACTTTTAAAGAAGTATTAAAGTAAAATTAAATTTAATAAAGGGTATCTAGGACAAATTTAAGGCATTCATAATCCTTAATCAGAGACATGACAAAGTTTTGAAAGAAAAATTCTGCAGTGACAGAACAGATCAGCATTAAAAATCAAGCTGCTTTTTTACATAGCTATATCAATTTACAAATGTATAAGCGATTTAAGTATAGCAAAAATAAAATCTCTAGAAATAAATCTGTCAACAATGTATGATATAAAAAAACTGTGAAACTAAGAGAATACTACCCATGAATGATTTGATTTTATGAACATATTAGTCTCATGTAAATAATACTCAGTAGTATACTTTGCTGAAAATCAATTCTATAAACTTAGTGAAATAAAAAAATCAGACTTCAAGATATGCTCACTCAGGAGCTGAGAAATTTTTAAAAATATCAGTAATGCTCTACCCCACCAAATCTGAAAACATATCAAACTATAATCAAATTAATACACTATCAGAAATATCAAAAGCTCAATAAAATAATTTAGTATATAATGAAGCTCCATTTTATATCAGAAACAAAAGAACTTCCCAGGAAATTAGTTTTGAACAGACTTGAAAAAGGCAGGTGTATAGCTCAACTTCTCCATATAAATCAATTTTAGATACAGATGTAGACATTGACCACTCACACAGATGCTCATCTAAGAAGAAAATAAAAATTACTGTGAAATGAACATGTAAACACATGATAAATGTCTTAGAAAAGGGGATTTGCTTTATATCTTGTAATAAGAAAATTTCTCAATTTGACCATAAAAATATTTTTAAAATCTATAGAAAGGAAATTAAGTCAGATAAGCAGCTGACTGGGAGAAACATTCACAATAGATATACAAAGATCAATAACTAAGTTATATGAAACTTAAAATCCACGAGTTAAAAAGTAAATATATAAAGATGCCCACCTTTATCAGTGTGCAGAACTTTTGAATACAGTATTTTTCACTTATAAGATTAATAAAAATTCTACATATCTAATTCAAATGTCCACTATATAACAAAGCAGGAACACATTTGTTGTTGAGGGAAACCATATATACTGATATGGTCACTTTGGAAGTCAACTAAAACTATCTCTTCAAATTAAAACTGTCTTCTGGCCAAGTAATTCAAACCCTAATACATACATACTAGAGAGTAATCCTTATAGTTGCATGAAGACTCATATAAGATGATGTTCACTTCAGCACTGTTTACAATCACAACAGAAAAAAGTGAACTGCCTAAGCATCCATTATAGGCAAAAGAAAGTGTGAGACAGGATGCAAAAATAAAGAGCTTAGTTAAATGTGAGTGGAATGGAATAAAAGTAGAAAAAACAAGCTGCAGAATGAGAAACATATCTTTATGTAAAAACCAGAACTATACATTTTATACCTGCTGTCAAAAAACGTGACTGATCTTTTTACAATAAAATTAGTCATATATTTACACATGTAGTTTAAAGTTTAATTTAAAGCAGTATGCACAGACTGACATTTTAAGAAAAATACAGACACACAATTATACTTTTATGTATCTCTGGCACTCTGTCCCTTGACAGCAAACACACAGGAAAGGTTCTAGAAGGGATACCTGCTAAAATAATGTGGAAATACTACCTAAAGATATTGCCAATAAAAATAACATTTTCAACTCTATATTCATTTGAAAGACAAGAAAGTTCAATTCATAATTTACAAAAGAAATACAATTTTTGTTCATAGTTCTTATGTTGGTATTGTTACAGTCTTTACAAGGTACATGATTATGTACTAAATTTTTGCCTTATCTTCACTGTATTTGAGACAAAAGGAAAATACAGTAGTTTAAAAGTCAGAACTTAAATTATTACTAATATTTTAGTAAAAAACTGACATATACAATTTCAAAGTAAATGAGTTTAAAGCTAGATTGGTTTATTTCCTTAGTTAACTAATTCTACCATAAGCGATTTAAATAAAAATGCTTTAATATTAAATTTCTCATTGACCAGCTCCTTTTAATGACTGCCCTTGTCTGTAAATTAGTTTGTAAACTCTTTTATCCTAATGTTGACCAAGAATGTTATTGGTGATCAAACCCAGCCAGATTGTGGTGGTGGTACAAATCCAACCAACTCCATTTTAGGAGTGAAACAATTTTTGAGTGTAGAAACCAAAAACAGTTTTTAAAACTGTATTTTGAAGAACTGCTTATTTTTCATTTACATATTGCTGAAGAATTGAACCATACAAAAGAAAATAATAAGAGAAAACTGCCAGAACTACTGTGCTTCACATCTGTGAGAGAAAGGTAGTCAGTTTCTTGCCAAATAAACAAGTCATTAATGAAGAAAGAAAAACCTGTGAAGGACAACCTTCAATGGAGTTTGGAATTTCCTCTTGCTATGCCAGGTATCTGTTCAACCTCTTCCTACAGCAATCTGCCTCAGATGGGCAAGCACCTCTGACATTTCTGATCCAAGAACAATTTCCTTCAGAACACAACAATGGAGAGAACACTAGACATGTGTTAGAAGGTTAGATCATCAGCGAACCCAGCTGACTGCATCCTAACTCCTCTGAACAGAAGAAGCGTATACCAAAAGACATCTGATCTGACCGCCACTTTAACAACTGGCCTTCATCAAAAGCCATGAAGGAAAAAAACTTTTATCTTCATATCATGGGCATTTTAAAAATGTTACAGATCTGTTTTATCTGGTATCTTCAATGCAGTCAGCACAGTTTCACACTGCACATGCAGTCATCTCTTATTTGTAACATACTCAAAAATACATGCTGGTAATAACAATCAAAAATTGTTTTACAACTAATTTGACAAAATTCAAAATAAGTCACTTGAGTAGATTCTTTAGGTCTTCGAAACAAAGGGCAGGTATAATTTTATTTCAAGAAAGTATTCAGATTTAAAAGAGAATTATTGACTTGGTAAGTACTGCTAGCACTTCTTTTCACATTAAACCTGAAAAACAAAGATGAGTTCAAACGAACCCATTTAATACATGTCTTTGATTTCTTTAATCACTTAAGTTTATAACAAAGCACTTTTGATATAATTTAAAACACACATGCTCTGATTGAAGAGTGACTGCAAATGAATCCAATTTTCTTCCACCTGTGATAATAATTTTGTCATTTCTTCTAGGATTACTGGTTCTGAAGGAAGCATTTTAAGGTGTAACTGAAAAGAAAAATATGATAGTTGGATATTTTACTCAATGAAACTACAGTTACCTACTTTGCATTCATTTTTCTCTGAAGGAACCTAAAACGATATTATCTCTCCAATTTCCCTCTCCAAACTTTCATCGCTCTTCTCCACCATACAAAAGTCCTGAAACAAGGTCCAACTTTTGTTTTTTGTAGGTTTTTTTGGTAGTATTGGGGATTGAACCTAGAGTCAGCCTCACACTTACCACTGCGCTACACCCCCAATCCAAAGCCCTAGTTCCAACACAAATTCCACATGTCTGTGCTTCCGTTTCTCCTTTCAATATAATCCACTAGTAATGAATGGTGAATGGGCTCTTTGCTTCATTTTCTAAAGGTTTTAAGTAAGTTCAACTTAAGTGACTAAAATACAATAAATGTGAGAAAAGACAATTTGTAGTTCTATTTTTCAATACACTCGGCTACTACCTAAATATCTAGCTTTTAAATAATTTTTAAGTAATCAGATTGAGTGAAAATATTGTAACTATTAATGGAACAGATGAAGACAGACCTTCAAAACATGATTTCACTCTTATGTTAATCACAAAAGCAACTTGTGCCAAATCACTTTAAACTCCAACTTTGACAGAGGTGAGCCTTTTGATTTCAGCAGTAAAAATACCCCATAAAACTTGGCTTTCCTTTATGATCACAGAAACTTACAAAATATAACTGCTTTAAAAAAGTTAATGGGTTAACATATTGGAGCCAGTGGATGATAAGATAATCAAGGTATAGTTAAAACTTTTGTGCTGCTGCCTGGGGGAAAAACAAAAAACCTATCAAGCTGCATGGTTCAACTACTCCAGTGTGTTAGTCACCAGCCACAGGTAGCTTTAACTTTAAACATTAAATAAAATTAAAAATTCAGTTTTCAGCTATACTAGCCACATTCAAGTATTCAAGAGTTGGGCTGGGGATTTAGCTCAGTGGTTCTGGCACTGGCCTTGCAAGCGCAAGGACCCGAGTTCGATCCTTGGTACCAAAAAAGAAAAAAGAAAAAAAAAAAAAACCAAAACAAAAGTATTCAAGAGTTACACTGTAAAGTGGCTACCATATCGGACAGTGTGGAGAAAGACCATTCCCATCTTTATAAAAAGTTCTATCAGACAATATTGCTTCTAATGAGGAAAGACAGGAAATACCTAACATTAGATTTACCTTTAGAAATAATGCAAGGTATGCCTGGGCTAACTCAAAGTCACGCTTCCCTTCCAACATCAACCCAATCATTTTCAAGAAACTCTGCATAACTTCTATAGATCCACCACCGTCAGGAGACAAATTTCGCAGCTCTGTTTCAATTCCTGATGGGCCTAATTCTTTTAGAAGGTTGAGAGCAGTTTCATCTGTATTGAGTTTTAAAAAAAAATTGCAGTTATTACAATCACTTCATTTAAATTACACACTTAAATATATTTAAAAATTTCTATCAAGCTTGGTGGCGCAGGCCTGTAATCCCAGTGCTTGGAAGGCTGAGGCGGGAGGATTGCCAAGAGTTCGAGACCAGCCTGTGCTACTTAGTCAGTTCAAGGACAACCGGGACTATAGTGAGACCCTATCTCAAAAAAAATTACTTGTATAGGAAATTTGCAAATATATAAAATTAAGTTAATTAAATTAGCTAATTAATTAAAGCCTATGACAAGGCTTTTGTTGTACGGACAGTTTTACCACAAATCAAATTTGTAAATAACAAAAAGCATGTAAATTACCAGCTACAACAAAACCTTTACATTTAATGCACATAAAGGGCCTCCTTATTATAAATATTGTCAATAAATGTATCCATCTCCAAATTGCAAAATAAGAAAAAACTAATTTCCATACAGAAAATGTGAAAACTTCTCAGTAAACTTTTATAGTTACTATCTGAGCTTAATGTCATTTAATATACTGTAATTTTAAAGCTAGGATCAGTTCAGATTAAAACAAAAAGTTCAACCTTTTGTTTTTACTACCTTCTTTTTAGTTACAAAATCTGGTATTTCCTTCAATTTTTCTTCATATAAAGTAAAACAAGCTAAAGATACATGTTAAAATGTTATAATTTAACTTACACTTATTATTTAGCAGTCCTTCTTCAAGTTTCAAGCAGAACTCTGATTTTTGAGCCAGAATTCCAAGGTTTACCACCTTAGACTTAAACAGAAACAAATATACATTACTAAAAGAATGTGTCAAAAAAATTTATAGCTTGCAATGAAAAGCTATCAGTATTTATATTTGTGAAACTTGGTCTGGGTAAACAACTACACAAAATATATGCAAACACAAATCCCATATATTTAGGTTCTTACCTGCTGGGGATCATTATTTTGTTCAGGTGTAGCATATCTGGGTACAAGGCCAGGAACTGTTGGAATAAAAAATGGTGCTGATTTGGGTACTTTGGGTGGTTCCTTTGGTTTATTCTTTTTCTGGTTAAGAGAAAATGAGAATGAGGAAAAGATTAGTAATTATCCTAACAATTTTTAATTCCAAATCAAATCTAAAACAAATACCAAGGAGTAAAAGGGGGAATTAAACTTTTCCAGATTAGAATGTTTGAATCTACCTGACCAACACCACAGCTATTCCTAACTCATGCTTCTCAATGCAGACCTGCAGTATCTACCACTCTTCCTAACTAAAGCAGAAGGAAACTATCTGGGTGCAGGAGCAGCTCAAGGACAAAGCTTACCTTCCTGAAATGCCCTTGTTTTGTACTCAATACTACTTTGTAAACAAAACGGAAGAGAGAGCAAAATTTACACACAGAATGGCTTCTCAAACTATTTTTCTCAAAAAAAAAAAAAAAAAAAAAAAAAAAAAAAAAAAAAATATGTATACTGGAGCCAGAAAGAAAAGAAAGGAAAAGAAAAATATATGTATAATGGAGCCAGAAGCCAATATTCCACATTAGAAGTAATTTGGTGAATTTTTTGTGAAGTATAAACCTAATTCATTTTTCTTAGAATTTTTATTTTCCCTTAGTACTTTTGTGTAAAAACAGAAACAAATAAAAAAAACTTGTTGGTTTATAAAATATTTCAAGTGTTAGTAAAATTCTTTTGGAATTCCCAATGAAAGAACTGAGTTTTAATGAATACATTTCTACATATCACTCTATCTCAGGAGTGTTTGATGAAAGAGACCTTCTTCAGTAATCTGCCTAATAAGCAAGCCTTATATTTACCTTAAAACTATTCTTCTACTCTCTTGAATCTCAGTAACTCTAGAGCAGTGATGGTGAAGCTTTCAGAGTAAGCTTTTGAACTTTCAATGATAACAGCCCACTGAGGCACAGTGCCATCGGTTTGCCACCACTGCCCTAGGGAGACTGCTATTCGAGAGCAATCCTAGGATATGAGTGGCCTTGTGCAGCTGTGTATAAAGAAATTACATATAAGCAAGACAAAGTACTGCCAACTGCAGTGTTAAGCACAGCCCTCTGGCATGGCAGCATGTAGTCATTCTTAACTTTTTCTTGAGTTGGAAGTGACAGTTGCTGACTTGTTAAAGAAAAAAAAAAAAAAAAAAGGCTACACAAAAGCTCCATAGTCTGAAAGTTAATCTTACATAGAAATGTAATAGTAGAAAAGTCACCCACAGGACAAAGTATAAACACGTCAGCTTCTTTTATTCAGAAGGAAATAGAAATATTAGAGGTTTCAGTATATTTCTTGCTCAAAGACAATTAGCTCAGATTTTTACATGTATTTATGCAGTACTATAGCTTAGTGAGAAACAAGGTAGTACAAAATTTTGCTCAGTTAGCCAGACATTACTCTGCTTGCTCTTCTCATGTACTTGTACTTTTTAATGGCTTGCTTTTAAAACTATTTCATCAAGTACTCTCTTAGAGTTTAGACTGGACAACAAGTTGGAGAGATTTCACAGCTGTATTCCCACTGACTACACCTTTATGCTCAAGAGCCCAATCTCCCAGGTTAACAAGGAAAATTTTTTCTCTTCTTATTGAGGACCCAAACATCTTCTCTGATGCTAAGAATAATTAGTACCACTTATTAAAGTTTTCTATGTCAGTGTTCCTTAAATATTTTTATCACATCCCACCTACACTGAATATTTATGCATATATCCAACCATATCAAGTTTCACAAAACAATACTTGCTACCAGAAGATGACTTCAAAATTTCTAATCTAACAACACCTTCAATTGCTTTTTATACTCACAAATTGGGGTCATGAAAACACTAACTTATACCATAGGTGACCATTTTCACATAAAAATTTAAATTCTTCAAGGACAAGGGGGCATAATTCATCTTCTATTGCCATATACAGTGAAAAACTACACATTATCTGGTACTTACCCCATAAATTTATGTTTGACCTACACAGCAAGCTCTAAAACTCTTTTTATAGTTGATAGAGTGTGGGCTGATAAAGTAAACTGCAACTTAATAAAATTTAAAAACTAATGAAATTTTCTTAACTCTCAATCATCTAGCAATAAGATATATTAGGGTAGCAATTTTTTGCCTTATTTCAGAAGCTCACAAAGTAATTTATCAGACTGGATTTTAAAACATAAAATTTTTAAAAGCTCTATATAGTAGTTGAAGACTGTACTTCTGCCACATTCACATCTGCAGAGTTCTCTCAAAACTGATAAACTGCGGGTATCTATGAAAACCACATTAAGTAAAATACCTTCAATTAAATGGCATTATCTTTGCTAAGACATTGACTACCCCTCCTAATGTCCTCAAAGTAGCGGAAGCTGTCTCTGATTAAAAAATAACAGTAGGTCTACTTAATACTCAATACTATGTATACTATAGTATTACCTTAATAACATCAAGATTAAGAAGATTTTTCCACCGTGATTCAGGGAGAAGTGACAGAGTGACTAATTGCTCACTCAACTGTTCTGGCGAACTATATTCTAACATTTCATCACTTGGTTCTGTATTTTCTTCAGATACTTCTACATCTTTAAAAAAATTCAGATAAAATGAATGTAAAATAAAATCTTTAGCATATAAAAGCAACTTAATTCATCCCAAATCTATGTATATTTTGTAACATGTCCCCTCAATAAACTCTTAATTTTTACTTTCTTTGCTTATGCTCCTTTTTCTTATTTTTTCATATTAACTATAACTTCCACCAGACCCAAAATACTTATATACCAGTATACTGACAAAGATATACTAATTACATATACTAATATAATGTATCATTTCAGTTAAATAAAGCCCTCTGATTGAATACATAACTTTTGCCTTCTGTACCAATAGCTGTTAAATTAGACTTACAATAATTATACCTCAAAAATTATTTTGCTATTTTGTGATTACCTTGGGTTTGACAAGTACCAGGAAGCATCACTACTGAAGGCACATAATCTGTAGGAAGTGGTCGTAATGAGACGACTGAATATAGGGAAATATTGGACCTGAGAAATCCAAATGAAAGAATATTTTGTTTAAAAATAATGACTTCAGAGAAACTTCAACAATTGCTAATAATGGCTATAATCTTGAATCTGGACAGACTGCACTAATTCGTTTGGAAAAGACCTCAAAGATAAACTGCCTTAATTTGAAAATGACTTTATGTCATAGATATCATAAGAAAGCTGCATAAAAATATTAATGGAATCTGTTGTTAATGTAGTACAGAAATACAGTTAAGAGGATCCAATAGCAAATTATACTTTCATAAGGTAAAATAATTTCCATATTGCCTTAACAATACCAACGTTGGCTTAAGGAAATAATAACAAAATAAAGATGGATTCAGAGACTGAATACACTTTATGTTTTTGGGGATACTGACTAGTCATGGATTCCACTTTTCTAGAATGGTCTTGTAAATGGCCATTTCCCTGTTACTTACCCTACCTATTTATGGATGACTAATAAAAATACAGACAGTATTTCCAAAGCAGGGACATATTCTTTCCCTTACCCATTATAAATTTCAAATGGAAATTTAAAGATGAGAAATCTCAAATCTTGAGTTATAATAATTGTACTATGTAGAAAATCTCTATATTGCTACTCAGAGGTCCCATAGCTATCTATTATTCTCTCTCTCTTTTTTTTTTTTTTTGGTTTTTAGAGACAGGGTCTCACTATGTACTTGAGACTGACCTGGAATTCACTATGTAGCCTAGGCTGGTCTTGAACTCACAGTGATCCTCCTGCCTCAGCCTACTGAGTGCTGGGAATACAGGCGTGCGCCACCATACCTGGCTTATTCTCTTTTATTTCAATTGCTGATTTTAAGAGATTCCCCATTTTACTGACCAAGTAAAGTCTATTTCTGTTATATATTCACTTTACTTTTCTATTTTAAAAATATGTAACATTTTCAAATTAGAAAAGGAATCAATTTTTTTCTCTTCCTCAATAAAGAGTTAAATAGATATATGAATTCAGAAAGTAGACAAAAATTGCTTCTCAGCCTTTTGGCTAAGATCAAGTGCAGAAAGTAGATAAAAATTTTGCTAGACCCAGATTATTCATCTTCATTTTGAGGGATCATAGTTCCTTAGAGGTTCAAATAAGAATTTAAAAATTGCCAAATATCTTTACATGGTTAAAAAGTCATGCAACCAGAACGAATAGTGGCATTTAGCTCACACCTGGGCCTTATTTTATGAAGTAGGTTGAAGTTCAGAAAGAATGGCCAAGGTCACATAGTAAAAAACTAAGGGCCTGGCTGGTTTTTTAACCTTTTGAATTTACTTACCTTTTCTGCAAATATGACAATGTATAAAAATCAACTGTAGTTTATACACTTGAGCGAAGCTGTTAAATTGTTACATTTATGGTGTATTAACTCTCTGTCAACTACAGTGACACTTTGGCTGTAAAACTCAATTTGTTCCAATTTGTGTTCAAACACCAAAAAGTTTGAGAACTGAACATATTTTTCCCATAAGAAACAATGGAAAATCAAACAATTGTTCTGAGGCCCCAAAATCACACTTACAAATTCATTTTTCCATGACTTCAACAAATTTCACAATGATTTCTTTCTTAACTCTATGTTGGTTCTCACAGTTTTCCTCTGAGCATTACTGCTGGCATCACTAACTTCTTTTGGAGCCATAGTTACCATATTTTATGCAAATAGATTATGAATAAAAGCACAACGACAGATGTTTTAGTGCAATAATACAAGTACTATACGTTGTCTGGGCGAGAGTCACTCAGACTGAAGCATCACCCCTGTGTGTCAGTGGCGAGATACAATGTGTGACTCACTCTCAGCCTAAACAGGTTTTTGCAAGTTGGATTTCTGGTTGACTATCAAGCAAAGTTTTGAACACCAATCAGATTTTTTCAAACTTTGCTGTTCGAGTAGTGCAAAGTTCGAGCTTGGAGCCGTTGGACAATCGAGGTGTCACTGTCTGTGAAATTTCCACTGTATTTTTTTTTAACTAAGTGGTAATTCTGACAATAGCACTGTCATCTTCCCCTTCCTCCCAAAAGAAGTATATAAAATAACTCACCATAGATAAATTCCAAGGTGGTCCACATGGGAAGTTGCTAGAAAGTCTCCAGTAGGGGACATAGTAACATTGAGAGGAGCTGAGTCCAACAAAAAGCAGTCTATAAGGCTACAAAAGGAATTAAGATGTTAAAGTAATTATACACTCCTAAAAAAGATAAAGTCACAAAAAATAATTCTGTTAAAAGAACAAGGGATAAAGCACACAAAATTTTTGTGTTTTTTAATTATAGGCAAAAAGTCATCACTAACAAAAAGCTTTGTTGACTAAATTACTATGTGAAAATAACCTCTTTTAACAAGAAAGACCAAAAGCACTAAATGGTCCAATTAACCAAAACAAATAAGAACTTTCAACAAGAGAGAGAACGCAGAGGAACAGATGCTGTTTTTCCACTGGAAATCATGGTATGTTGGTTCAGGGCAATTTTAAAGACATCACGCATTTAAAATAAACACAACTGGTACTCTTCTGTGTTTCTGTTATTCTAGCGACAATAAACAAACTGAGATAACAGAACAAACTGCTGAAGGAATCTGAAAGTTGGACAGAAAAAAAAGAGAGTAACCACACTCAAGTAAAGAAAGAAACTCAAGAGAGGCCTCACAGATAACTAAATGTTTGAGCTGAGCCTTAAAAATTGACAGAATTTCCAAGGTTAGTAGAGAAGACACTTCCTAGTGAGGGAAATGTGGAGTGTGAAGTAAAATATACAAAGAGTGCAGCTGGGTAGAAACCATTAAGCAAGAGATTAAGGCTTACATACAGTCATATTTGAATTTGTTTTCATCCCAAAATTGATGTTAACTTACTAAACATTTCTGAACAGATAGTGCTATAATCTTCACTTTCATAAGACAATTTGTCAAAAGGATGCATAGAATTTATTTGAACCGGAGAAATAGTGAGACTTTGGTAGTAATCATTTAGCAATACAGAACCAACAAGGACGGCAGCCACCAGAAGTGAAATCAGGCAGACTTAAGGATCAAACAGAAAGGTCTACACTAAGCCCCATACTACCAGGAAGACTCCTTAGAATGACGAACAGCAGAAATATCTTTAGAAAACTATACTATTTTTAAAAAGAGATTTTTAAAACAAAACAACCTTATTTACTGAGGACAATAATTATCTATGGAAAGACATGGGTGAATGAAGTTCAGGATCTACACTAAATAATACAAATTATTTTAAGAACAAGGTAACAGCAACTAAGATGATTTTCAGCGTTCTATCCTACTATAATCTAATCCTTACACCTTGAGGCCTCCCATACAGATCAGAAAACTTAAAACTTCATCAAGAGAGACAGCAACTGAGCCATGATTAGAATACAAACAGTGTGCACTTTTAACCACCTTTAAAGCTAGTAAAATCACTTAAAGATAAAGTAAGAAGACTGATAACATACACAGAGCATGTCTATCCTGGTGGAATACCGTGAGCAATTCAAATGTAAAGGCTCTCTGGCGGAGATATTAAGTGACTTTCCAATAAAAAAAAATCTCTCTCAATTTGCTGAGAGAGCCATTAGAAATGTAAATCTTCAACAGTGAATAGAAGATGCAAAGAAAATACTTATATTGGGAGTACTGGAAACAAATGCCAAAGCATGTTCAGTATAAGGAAAAGGGCAGTAATAAGCTGTCTTGTTTCTTGCTCAGGCCTACTTGGGAAGCTCACAATCCTGGTTTTTCTTAGGGATCAAGGGAATGAGGGAAAAGGAAACATTTGCTGAACACATTATCATCAGAGGCTGTCAATTATTTGTTAATTCACTTGCTCCAAACAACCCAGAGCAGAAGATACTATCCGAGTGTATACAAATAAAAATTAAACCAAAAACACAGCAATTTCACATCTTGTTAATTTACCCTTTGTATTGATCGATATTCTTCTGCAACAGTTACAGTATGTGAAAGATGAAACTTCCTAACATGTTTAGAATCTATCTGGTAAGAAGAGAATTTACGGATTGAGCAGATTTGTTTTATTCCATACTATAATTTTTTTGTCAATTTCATTGTGCAACTTCATTTTTACAGCTGTAGAGTAGACTAGCTTTCTTTTATGTGAAAGCACTGATTTGAGGGAGGCAGTTTCCACATACACACCATATTTTATTTTACAGTTTTATTAGTTCATATAATTTAAGTGTTCAGCCTTAATCCCTGACTTACTAAAACTACCTACATACCTGATACCCCTATAATATGTAAAGTTCCAGTTATGTTACCAATTTTTCCTGAATTATTAACCATATTCCCAATTTAAGGAAAAAGATCAGAGTTCTGCATATACATGTAACATTCAGTATACTTGTAATTATTTTTCTGTTAAAATGATTATAGTTATAGTGTATGCATATCCTATCTCCAAGATGACGGAATCAACAAAAAACATGATTTATGACTCAGTGAGAAATGTAAAATAATGCTTTATTTCAACTCTTCCAATGCTAATGCTTCTCAGAAAAGACAGGGATGAGAAGATGAAACAAAATGCAAAATTATTTTATAAAACTATGCAGGTTTATGTATTTATTACCCCCTCCAAAGAGTTCATCTGAATTTCCACTACAAAAATCCAGAAGAAACAAAAAGTAGTGGTGCTGGAAGTAAGTTCAGATAATTCTAAGGACAAAATATTTCAACTGTTTCTCTTTGAGGAGTCTACAAACAAAAAATTTTCAGCATTTAAAAAAATTTTCCAGGAAGCGGTTCAATATTCATGAAGTTTATTTTAGAAAGGCATAATTCCAGATGGATGCACTATGTTACTGCAAAGGTTTACTCATAGATTGTTTCATTTTAGGTTATATAATGAATATATTCATTCTTTAAATATTTAGCATGCTATGTAAATGATGAAAATGCTTACTGAAGGAAGAGCTAGGAATTTCCAAAGGTTACCATCCCAATTATATTTAAAAGGGAAATTAAAAAAAACTCAACAGTTACCCAGGGTTGTATGATAAAATACTAAATCTTGATAATTATTTGTCTTCTACAGCAAGAATATCAGGCCAGTCTTAAAATATATGACACAACTTGAGCAAAGCTGATACCATAACTGTTAGAAAAACTTACTTCTTTCTCTTGTACTTACTTTTTGTTCTACTATTTATAAACTAAGCCATTGTAGACAAATCACTTAATTTCTCTCTAAACCTCCATGTCCTTGTGAAATGGAACTAGCAATTAACAGTAACAGAACTAACTTTGAAGACAGGAAAACATAGAAGTGTATAAAATGCCTAGCAGCACCTGATAAATGATTGTTTAGTTGCAATTAAGCAGAATTAGTTGTTTGAGAATGCTTTTCAAGCTCTCATTTGCTCTTCAAATCTTAATCAAATAACTATTTTTTAGTATAAATATACTTTTGGCCAGTGTAATTTTATATTTTCTCTTAACTGCTCCATGTGGCTTATTTCTTGGTCTTGTGTTGCACCACACTTCATGTCTCTCTATCAACCTTAAGTGACATGTGTTCAGCTAAAACTATGACAGAAAACCTATCATATTTAAATCTATTTGACTTTTTACTGAAATAAGAAATTCACCAAGAGTTAAAGCTGAGTCAAAGTTTTATGGCGTTGAATGCTATTTTCAGATCTAATTCTTCCATTCCAAAGATGAATTTGCCATTTTTGAAAAATACTTTGCCAGTTCAGTATTATTGAATATTAACTGATTTCTCCCAGCTAATGTGAATACTTAATAAAAAGGAAATGAAAACACTATTTAACCCTATTACTTGTCAAAATTTCTTACTTTAATTCAATTACATAATGTTCATTTTAAAAAAAAATAGCAAGAGATCAAGAAGCAAAATACCATCAATATTTTTAACTGACTTTGAAAAAAGTTTTGCTAGTTTAGGAAACATCAACTTTTGGTACACTTTTTGGAACTAGCTTGACTTTGCTTTATTCTATTTCACTTCACGTGAAAAAGGACACACCTGTGGACAAAAGTCCCTACTTATTAGAGCTGGATCCACTAGCAGTACTCTTTACATGTGTGTATGCTGGATATGTAGGTGTACCTCATGCCCATGGCAAAAGTTAAAGGAAATGAGAACATCAGGGTTTTCCCTTTCTAAAGGTTAAGACTACTTTCACATATGAGGTTATCTAATTCCTGAGAAACTGCTGGATCAGTAGCAAGTTTCACTCCATGAAACAGCTTTCTGACATTGCTATGCTACTGACAGAGATATATATATATAACATAAAAAGAAAAGCTAGGATTTTTGATGTTTTCATTAAATCTAATATGAAATTTTAAAAGCTTTCAAATACAAACTTTGTAGTCCTAAAGTTTGAGCCCCGTTATGAAGTATTAAGAAGGCCAAAAAGAGCTTTCTTAAATTTACACAACTCACTTCTAAATCTGTGTTTTTTTCTATTATATTTCATGATGCTACTGCTTAGAAGTCCTAAGTACTCTAAGGATAAGATACAGTCACGTTAGAAAATCCCCAAATGCATTCACATTCATTAACTACACAATTTATTAACTACATGTAACAATCACATGTTAAAACAATGAAAAATCATCTATGAGACTGAAAAATAAACTTACCACCCGGATGGAAGGTCCCAAGTCCTGATGGAGCAATCCATTGCAGCACTTATTAACCAACGACCATCAGGACTGAAAGTCTTTAAAATGAATAAATAAATTGTAGATATATTTGCATTTATAAAGTGCTCTCTGTGTGTGTAGAGGTATGTGTGTGTGTACATATATATATATGTGTGTGTGTGATTTAGGCATCATGAAAAAATGAGTAAAATTCACATTGCCTTATTTTATAAAACAAAACATCATTTTCTATATATGTACTACTGATACGGAATATGGATAACAATTAGTTTTTTAAATGAATTATAAGTTTTAAAAAATAAAGAATTGCCCCAATTTTCATATCAGTCTCATATTTATTTTAGAGAATTAAACTGTGACTACAAATCATTAGTATTAAAAATGCTACTGTTGATACTGTTCAACTAGAAATAACTTGCTAGTTTAATTTGTGTTACAAAGTATTTCTGTAATATACCCACCCTCCCAGGGATGGAACTCAGGACCTGCAGCCACTGAGCTACTTCCCAGCTCTATTACAAAGTATTTCTGAAAGAAACAAAAGTTCTATTTCTTTTTTAAAAAGAGTACCTATTTTAGACTAACTTTCTAAGAATTAATCCAAAGTACTATAATTTAAAGACAGAAAATGAAAACTCTCATCAAATTTCAAAACTACAAAAATCCTTCTACATATAATTGTGACTTTAAAAATTCCCTTTTCTGAAATGGGGATGGTAGAATATGCCTGTAATCCCAGCACTCTTAAGTGGGTAAGATGACAAGTTCTAGCCCAGCCTGGACAACTTAGACCCTGTCTCAAAAAAATTAAAAGAGGGCTGGGGATACAGCCAGAGCCAGAGCCCCAAGGTCCATCTCCAGTACTGGGGGGAAAAAAGTAACCTTTTCTGGGCTGGGGATGTAGTTCAGTGGTAGTACACAAGGCCCTAAATTTGATCCCTAGAATTGCAAAAAAAAAAAAAAAAAAAAAACCAAAAAACCAAAAAAAAATTT